CGTGTGTGTGTGTGTGTGTGTGTGTGTGTGTGTGTGTGTGCGTCTGTGTTTCTGCTCCTTTTAGGGCGCTCACTTCCTTCGTACCCCCGCACTGGGGGCCCGCGCTTCCTCACGGTATCCCTGCCCTGCTCTCGCCTTCCTGGCAGCGCCCGCGATGTTGCTTCCGCTGGCCCTGAGCCGCAGCCCCAGGCCGCCTGCCAGGTGTCGCCTCGCCGCCTCCTGCCTCGCTGGTCGCCCCTTTCGGCTGCCCTTCTCTCCTCTTCCGCTGCCCTTGTCCCTTATCTCCTTTTCGGAGCTCCTGCGTCGCCTGTCCTGTCCCTCGCTTCTTCCAGTCACGCCTGTACCGTTACTGCGCCTCGCTGTGCTCCTTCCGTGCTGTCGGCACCGGCTATTTGGCGCCGTTCTGTCCCTTCGTCTCTCCCCCCCTTAGCTCAGGCCTGGGCGTTCGCATTGATCCCCGGCGGTGGATCCCTGCCCCATGCTCTTGAGCGGGCCGGTTGCGCGCGCGTCCTCCGCTTTCCGACTTTCTACGTCTCGACGTTGCGCGCGCGGCCGCGACGCCCAAAAGTGTGTGTGTGTGTGTGTGTGTGTGTGTGTGCGTGCGTGCGTGTGTGTGTGTGTGTGTGTGTGCGTGTGTGTGTGGGTGTGCGTGTGCGTGTGCGTGTGCCTGTGTGTGTGTGAGTCCGTGGCATTCTGCCTCCTTCACTGTACGTGTCTGTGCGTGCCGTCGCCTCCTCGCTGTCTGTCCTCGCACACTCGGCCTCCTTGGCTCACGCTGCGCCTACGCGGCCTGCCTTGCTTCTCGTCCTCGCCGGTCTTCTAGCGCTGCTTCGCCTCATCATGACTCCAGTTGCTGTCGCATTGGCCTGTCGGCGTATCTTTTCGTCCTCGTTGTCCCTCCCGCCCACGCTGCCCATGCCCGGGTGTGCGTATGGCATACGAGGCAGGAGGGAGGAAGAGAAGGGAGGAGGAGGAGGAGGAGGAGGAGGAGGCGGAGGCGGAGGAGGAGGAGGAGGAGGAGGGAGGAGGAGGCGGAGGCGGAGCAGGAGGAGGGAGGAGGAGGAGGAGGAGGAGGAGGAGGAGGTTGACGGTTTCGTATGCACGATCCCCCAGGTTTTTGTGTGGCAGATCCCTGGTACTTCTTCCGAGGGCCCGGCGGCGCGGGTCCGCCGCACTTTCTCTCGCCTCTTGACTGTCCGCGCTTCGTCGCTCCGCGCGAGGCCGCGGTGCCAAAGTGTGTGTGTGTTCGCGGAGGAGGAGGAGGAGGAGGATCAGGAGGGGGGAGGAGGAGGAGGAGGAGGAGGAGGGAGGAGGAGGAGGAGGAGGGAGGAGGGAGGAGGAGGGAGGAGGAGGAGGAGGGAGGAGGAGGAGGGAGGAGGAGGAGGAGGAGGAGGAGGACGAGGAGGAGGAGGAGGAGGTGCCAAAGTGTTTGAGTGTGTGCGTGTTTTTATTTAATCGCTTCGCTCATTCCGCCGGCCCATATTGTCGCACCGTTGTGGGCTAGCCGAGTTTTGGGGGCCGTTTTGGGGCCTCTTGGGGCCTCTTTTGGGCCTCTTGGGCGCCTCTTGGGGCGTCTTGGGGGCCTCTTGGGGGCCTCTTGGGGCCTTTTTGGGGCCTCCTGGGCGCCTTCTGGGGCGGAGGGCTCGGTTCCCCTCTTGAGCCCCTCTTGGGCCCGTCTTGGGGCCTCTTGGTCCGTCTTGGGCGGCACTTGGGCCGTCTTGGGGCCCTCCTGGGCCGTTCCGGGGCCGTCTTGGGAGCCTCGTGGGCCGTCTTGGAGCGGTCTTGGGGGCCTCTTGGGCCGTCTTGGAGCGTCCGGAAGCCGAAAAAGCCAGAACACAAAAAACATAGAAAAAACCAATGAAAATCAACGATTTTGGCCTCTTGGGGCTCTCTTCGGAGGCCTCTTGGAAGGCTCTTGGGGCGTCTTGGAGGCCTCTTGGGCTGTCTTGGGGGCCTTTTGGGCCGTCTTGGGGTCATCTTCGGCGTCTTCGAGCGCTCTTTGGGCGTCTCGGGGGCCTCTTGGGCAGTCTTGGGGGCCTCTTGGGGCACTCTGAGCGCGCTCTGGGGAGCCTGAGAGGCCGCACCCAGAAGGAAAACCATCTCTGAGTAGACTTGGTCGGGCGGCGGTCGGGCGGCGGTCGGGCGGCGGTCGGGCGTTGGTCGGGGTACTTTTCGCCGGGGGACCCCCAGGGGCCGCCCCGCGCGCGCGAACTAGAAATACTGTTAATACTGTTAACCAGTTACCGGAGATCTTAGCACGCCCTGGCCCGTTGGGCCGGCGAATTTCGTTATCGAAGACGCCTACGGCGAATCACCGCCGCCCCCTGCCTTTTTGGAAGCGCCTATGTGGCCGAACGTTGAGGCCAGACCTGCCAAGCTATCGGACCACGTGTTCCCCGAATCGGTTTGGAAAGCCTTCGGGGAACACGTGGGCATCTTGAAGGTCATCTTGGCCGTCTTGGAGGCCTCTTGGGCAAGCTTTGGGCGATCTTTGGGGCTTTTTGGGCCGTCTCGGGCCAGCTTCGAGCCAACTTCGGCCATCTTGGTGGGTTCCTGGCACGTCTGAAGCCGTCGGAAGCCGTTTGGGGGGCCTCTATGGGCCGACTTGGGGCCCGCTTGGAATGCTCCAGGGCCGTCTTGGAGGCCATCTTGGGCGTCTTGGAGGCCATCTTGGGCGTGTTGGAGGCCTCTTGGGCCCTCTTGGGGCCCTCTAGGGGCCATCTTGGAGGCCACTTGGGCCATCATGGGGCTCTCTTGGGGGCCTCTTGGGCGATCTTGGGGGCTTCTTGGGCCGTCTTGAGCCGTCGGAGAGCCGAAAAGGCGCAAATGCCAAAATCCTTCAAAAACCAAGGGAAAATCAATGATTTTGGCCTCTTCGGACTCTCCTGGAGGACCTCTTGGAGGCCTCTTGGGCCGTCTGGGAGGCCTCTGGGGGGCCTCTTGGGCCGTCTTGGGCCGTCTTGGACTCTCTTGGGCCGTTTTGGAGGCCGTCTTGGACCATCTCGGGCGGACTTGGAGGCCATCTTGGGCCATCTTCGCGATTTTTTGAGGATGTCCCGAGCGAAACGGCCGTTTTTGGGCATTGACAGACGCATTTTGGGAAATTTACGGGTGGCCGGCGGGACGGGCCGAAGCCCACTGGGGAGTTCTTTTAGAAAAAGAACCAAAACCAAAACCTGAATCATCCAGCACGCCGTGCACCCCTGCAAGCAGGGGGCGGCGGATCGAAGACGCCTACGGCGAATCACCGCCGCCCCCTGCCTTTTTGGAAGCGCCTATGTGGCCGAACGTTGAGGCCAGACCTGCCAAGCTATCGGACCACGTGTTCCCCGAATCGGTTTGGAAAGCCTTCGGGGAACACGTGGGCATCTTGAAGGTCATCTTGGCCGTCTTGGAGGCCTCTTGGGCAAGCTTTGGGCGATCTTTGGGGCTTTTTGGGCCGTCTCGGGCCAGCTTCGAGCCAACTTCGGCCATCTTGGTGGGTTCCTGGCACGTCTGAAGCCGTCGGAAGCCGTTTGGGGGGCCTCTATGGGCCGACTTGGGGCCCGCTTGGAATGCTCCAGGGCCGTCTTGGAGGCCATCTTGGGCGTCTTGGAGGCCATCTTGGGCGTGTTGGAGGCCTCTTGGGCCCTCTTGGGGCCCTCTAGGGGCCATCTTGGAGGCCACTTGGGCCATCATGGGGCTCTCTTGGGGGCCTCTTGGGCGATCTTGGGGGCTTCTTGGGCCGTCTTGAGCCGTCGGAGAGCCGAAAAGGCGCAAATGCCAAAATCCTTCAAAAACCAAGGAAAATCAATGATTTTGGCCTCTTCGGACTCTCCTGGAGGACCTCTTGGAGGCCTCTTGGGCCGTCTGGGAGGCCTCTGGGGGGCCTCTTGGGCCGTCTTGGGCCGTCTTGGACTCTCTTGGGCCGTTTTGGAGGCCGTCTTGGACCATCTCGGGCGGACTTGGAGGCCATCTTGGGCCATCTTCGCGATTTTTTGAGGATGTCCCGAGCGAAACGGCCGTTTTTGGGCATTGACAGATGGGTTTCCCGGAAATTGCGGGTGGCCGGCGGGACGGGCCGAAGCCCATTGGGGAGTTCTTTTAGAAAAAGAACCAAAACCAAAACCTGAATCATCCAGCACGCCGTGCACCCCTGCAAGCAGGGGGCGGCGGATCTCACGGCCTTCGGCCCATCCCGCCAGCGTGCCTAGATTGTGGGTCAGAGTTCTCAGGGATGCTTCTTCGGGTCTGTTCGGGGCGCTCTCGGAGGTCTCTTGGGAGCAGCTTTGGGGCCTCTTTGGAGCCTCTTGGGGATCCTTTGAGGGCGTTTTGTGACCTCTTGGGGGCATCTTGGGGCCTCTTGGGGGCTTCTTGGAGGCCTCTTGGGGCCCCCCTGAGGGGTCCTCGGGGCCGAGGGCATGAAATGTCCGTTCGGGTCCCCCTTCTGGGCCCCCTCTTCGGGCCGTCGTTGGGCCCTCTTGGGCCGTCTTGGGGCCTTCTTGGGCCGTAACAGCACTCACAGACAGTAGTTTTCTGTCGGTCTACGCGGGGCGTCACTGTAATGGTCCCCTCAGGGGCGTGGCATACTGGCGAGAGTTGCACGCCTGGCATGGCAGCACCCAGAGTGCTAGAGGTCCCGTTTGGTGCTGTGTAGGGAGCCACTGCGCTGGACCCCCCGGGGGCGCGGCACACTGGCGAACGTTGTGCGACTGGCAGCACCCAGAGAGGACGAGGCCCCGTCGGTGTCTGCGCGGGGCATCGCTGCGCTGGACCCTTCTGGGGCGCGGCGAAGTGGCGGGAGTTGCTCGCCCGAGGGGAGGGAGGCAGCCGGAGGGCAGGAAGCGACCAGGGACGCGGGCAACGCGGAGAGGCACAAGGAAGAAGGACGCGGGGAGGGGGAGGAGACGACGCGGCGAGGAGGGGAGGCAGCGGGAGGGAGGAACGGAGGAGGGAGGAGCGGCAGGACCCGATTCATGAAGGCGATGGCCCAACACAGAAGCGTTGGGGGAAAAGGGGAGGGCGACCTGGAGAACAGCTCCAAGTCCCTGCAGGCCCCGCGTCAGCTCGCCTGCGTGCCCGCGCACCCGGGTCGACATATCTGCGGTGTATGCTGCCCTTCTTCCTATCGTCGTCTTCGATTTGCTTTCCCTACCCCGCCTTCCCGTTGCCTTCCTCTTCTCCTTTCTTGTCCTCCCGTCCCTTCTCCTGATCCTCCCATCCCTTTTCGTGCTCATCAACCGTAAGTTCTTGCTTGCAATCAGCAAGACTCGCCTCTCCTCTCTCCCAGCATGTGGTACGCCAGGGGGGCAGCACCTGCGGATTCCATGTATCCAGCGACGCCGGCCTGGGCCAGGTAAACCCTGTGCCTGGAGTTTGTGTATATGCTTGCCTTGCGAACCATACGTCCGACGTCATGTCTCTTTCACAATGTGGCTCCCCACAGGTCCAGACCGCTTCCCAGGACCAGCTTCCCATCCCAAGCCGTTTCTTCACCGTCCTGGGGACCGGTGAGGAACTCCAGAGCCGTTTCTGCCGCCGTGGTTTTTTCAAGGCGTGGGGATGTCAGGGCCCCCCCCCGCCAGAGAAGGGCGGTTTCCCGGCCTGGGCCGCGGAGTGCCGGGCGCGGCTTGCCGAAGAGCCGCGGGGGAGTCCGTCTGCCTTGCGGGCCGCGTGGCCAGCGCTGAGGCTCGCGGCGCCCAAGGCCACGATCGGCCCGTGGAGGCCCGCGCGCCCCGGAGGTCTTGGGTTCCGCTTCCAGGGCGCGGCCGAGAGGGGGGATGACGGCCCTGTGGGGGCGGGCATCATGGCCGGCCTGGATCTCATGGCCCCCCCTTCCTGCCTCGGCGTGTCCCCTGGTCCTCCCTTCGTCCGCGCGCGCGTCGGGCCACGGGCTGCGAGCGCCCCCTCTTGGGCGCCCCCCTCCAGAGCGCCCCCGATCCCTCCCCCGCCCCCCTCGGGTCTCGGCCCAGGGGCAGCCCGAAGGTTCCCCACCCTTCGCGCTCGGGAGGGGCCCCTGGACCTCTGTGGCGGCGCTCCTCCACGGCCAGGGGGTCACGCTGCGGCCTCCGCGGCAGCCTCCCTCCTTTCTGTGCTTCGTCGGTTGGGCGCCTCAAGTCGCACTGTGACGAGCCTACTCCAGATTTCGTAATAAAAGGGAGGGGGTCTCATTTCGGGGGGGGTCTCTTCCAGGCTATCTTGGAGGGCCTGGGGGGGTCTGGGGACGATGCTTCGGAGGGTTCTCCCACGAGGGGGGGTCTGAAATGGCTTGTCTTGGAGGGTCCAGACCCCCTCCCTTTTATTACGAAATCTGGAGTACACGATCATCAGAGTCTGTGCCAGAAGTTCAGTGTAGATCGCTTCTCCTGGCCCAGCTCCGCCAGAGGCAAGGCGGCGAGAAACATAGACCACGGCGTTGTCCAATGCGATGGCCTGCATCCCTCCTTCCATCCCTTGGCGTCCATCTGGCGGGAGCACTGAATGGTGGTTACGACGTGAATCCGCCTAAATCACTGTGAGGGGGCCGAACGTTCATTCAGTGGCTGAAGTGAGCTTCTGCGCGTGGCTTAAGTGAGGTTCTGCGGTGCGGATTATTGTTATTATTGTTGTTGCTGTGGTTGTTATTGTTGTCGTCGTCGTCGTCGTCGTCGTCGTCGTCGTCGTCGTCGTCCTCGTAGTCGTCCCACCTGCGACCCGGGCCGCGACCCACCCGCGACCCACTGGCGACCCACCCGCGACCCACCCGCGACCCACCCAGGACCCACCCGCGACCCACCCGCGACCCACTCCGCGACCCACTCCGCGACCCACCCGCATTGCTTCAACGAAAAATCGGCGCCTGCGGCGGGCTCGTTGTATAACTTGACGAAGTAGGCGCCTGCGGCGGGCTTCTGCAGGGCTTCGCAGTCTGCCGACGTCCCCGCCGCCCCCTCACTCTTATCTTCGACTGCGGGGTGTTCCTGTATGACATTTTTCAGACCGCGGCCTCCACCCCATGCCCTGATAGGCACGGGTTGGCTCCCCATCAGGGCGCCAGAGACGAATTCAGAGCAAACGGGGGCACGGTGAACGCCGATTCTACGTTTGGCTATGCCCCTGCTTAGGGGCCTTGGGCTCCGTAGACGGGGGCATGGTAAACGGGTGCAAATTCAAAAGCCGAAGCCCCCGTGCAGCTATGCCGCCGTGCCGGAGGCCCTATCCCCAAGGGGGCGCGCACGACCGGCGTTCGCTCCGCTTCGCTTCGCTGCTCTTCCCCTCTATCCGACCTCCTCGACCACCTCGCCCTTCCAGGCCATGCTGGACGCCGGGCCCCGGCTGTGGCTCCAGATGCTGCTGACCTCTGCGTTCGGCGCCCTCACGGGGCTGTGCCTCTTCCAGGCTGCGCTTCCGCCTCTCCTCTCCATCGCGGGGCCCAGAGGGGGGCCAGGCGGGCGAGGAGGAGGAGGAGGAGAAGGAGGAGGAGGAGGAGGAGGAGGAGGAGGAGGAGGAGGAGGAGGAGGGGCATGGTGGCGTCGCGGGAGTGACATTGGGCCGCATTGCAAAGGTTGCAAAGGGGCATGGTGGGAGGGAGGAGGAGGGGGCGCATGAGGATGAGGGTGAGGAACATGACGCGGGGACTGGCCCGCCGGGGAACGGTAGCAGTAGGAGAGGTTGGTGGATCTTGGTCAGGGCTACGAGCGCAGGAGGGGCGAGTGACACGGTGATTTGTCCCCCCCCAGAAGTACCTGCACCTGGGGGCTCTCACCTGTGTTCCGTGAGGAACTGGACGGGGTCCGCCGATGCTTCTTCACGCTGCCGCCTTTCTGGGCGCTCGTGGGCGCCCCGTGCGCTGAGCTTACGCCGCGTAGCTTGCACCCCGTAGTTAGACGGCTTCGCTTGCACCACACCGTCTCTGCAGATTTCACACAGAACTTTGTCCGTATAGTTTTTGCGCCACGTAGCTTACACCGCATCGTTCTGACTTCAGCTCGCATCACACATACGCCACGACACAACATGAATGATCTCAGGGTCCACGCTGGCTAAGATATGGATGATGTCGAACCCTCACTTCGGCAGAATCATTATCGGTGACCGCGCATGTGTTTTCTCGTAGACGAGCTCCCTTATGCTCGCATTCTCGTTTTTGTCGGGGAAGCTGTGCCCCTGGGCCCCCCGCTACAACATCGACGGCTCCCCTCTGCGACTTCTCGCAGTTTTACGCAGGACTAAGGAAGTGGGTTTTGATGGGACTTCCTTTGGGTCAAGTGGACTTATGAAGGAGTCGTGCGCTCGCCAGTCAGGATCTAGACCGGCTGCCAGCTGCTCGTGGACGGCTTCGCAGCGGGCAAGGCGTGGTGCCTCCAGTGGCAGCGACCCTACCGAGAGCTATGGGTACGCTTGTGGCGAGCGCTCGAGGAATTCGGTCCCGACAACGTCACGGTCCACAGGGTGACGGCCCATGCGACGCTGGCGGACGTACAGGCCGAACGCATCACCGCCTGGCAGCGCAGGGGCAACCACAGTGCGGACGCTCGCGCCATTCAGGGCGCTGAGGTGCATCCCGCGGACGACGTGGTTCGCGCGCGCAGCCTGCGCCAGGACCGCCTCGTCAGGAAGGTCTTCCGCTGGCTGGGCGCCGCCATGCAGGATGGCGACGCGGAGCTGACTGCCGCGGACGGCCACGAGGGGCCAGGCATGGCGGCGGTGCGGTGCGACTGGCAGGGATGCAAGCTGCGCTGGAGGAGCCGCTGCAGCTTTCGCGATTGCTCGCGGAGGACGTGTGGCAGACATGGGACATGGCTCGAGGTCGGCAGCGAAACGCTCTGGGCCTGCCAGGAGTGCGCTGGGCGGGGCGAGGCGATTTCGGGCTCGTGGATTTCGGGTTCGGAGGGGGCCTCGGGCTCGGTCCACGCGGCCGCGGCTTTCTTCGCAGCGAGCGCGGCTCTTCTCTCCAGCCAGGCCAGTGGCTCGCAGAGCGCAGCAGCAGCAGCAGCAGATGACGGGGGCCAGCGTGACGGTGGAGGGGGCGGAGTCTCGTATGGCCGCTGCGGCGCGGCCGCGGCAGCTCGCGAGCAATGGGGGGCGGCGTCTGTGGCGCAGCCGCCGCCCCCGCGTCCGCCCGCGCTTCCACCGTGGTGGGGGCTCGATCCGCACGACTCCCACGAGTTATGGCGGGCAGGCAACCACCTCTTTTGCGTCGAGTGCAGCTACTGGGCGCAGAGTGGCAGGATGCCGGGCCTGGCGAAGGTGCGTCCGAGGGCGCCCAAGAACGACAGGCAGAAGGCGGTGCTCGGCCGCCTCAAGCGAGGGCCGCAGCCATCAGGGCAGGGTAGCATCGGTGACCCTGAGCCCCCGCGCCGCCTGCGCAGGCGAGTGGACGGCTAGCCTCTCTCGCCCAGTTCGGGCTTGAACCATGTGCGTAGGTCCGCTCACGCATGGGATTGGGCCCGATACCGTCGGCAATGCAACAGGTCCTCTGCGCGGCCTGGTGCCAGGAGGACAGTTGCGCTGCTGTCGGTCAGTTCGCTCGCCGCTGCCCTCGGCGGTCTCTGTCCGCGTGCGCGGCCTCTGCTCGGTGCGCGCGCGTGCAGCTGCCTGCTGTTAGCAGCGGAAGCTGAACCAGGTGTGTAGGTTCGCCCACACACGGGGTCGGGCTCCGACACTTTCGCAGCATGGCTCTCTGCTCGGTGCTGCCTTTTAGCAGCTGCGGCTGCCTTTGCAGCAAGCCTCAGCTGAGGCTGACCCAGGTGCGTAGGTTCGCCCGCGCACGGGGTCGGGCTCCGTCCAGTGGCAATGCAACCAGTCCTGGGTGTGGCCTTGAGCCTCTGGGACACGTTGCTCAGCCGATGGGTCTTAGCTGTGCTGCGCTCGCCATTTAGCGGCACGCTCCGTGCCCTTGCTTTGTCTCTGACCTCCCCCTCCCATTGTGTCTGTCGACCTGTTCGGCGGTGCTGGTGCTATGCAGCCAGCCCTGGAACTCGGGCCGTGAGACTCCGCCAGACGGGCGATACATGTGTACTGCTCTTTGCCGACCTCTTTGGCGGTGCTGGTGTCACGCAGCCAGCCCTGGAACTCGGGCCGCGGGGTTCCGCCATTCGGGAGGTGGTGCTTATTCTCCCTTGGGGCGGGGGGGGGGCTCGGCACGGAGGGGGTCTGGGCTTGCCAGGCGGCTTTGACCGTTGCCATGCCCCCCCGCCTAATTGTTTACTACTGGACGTCATCTGAGTTTCATTTTTGGAGACAGGCCCAGGAGTGAAGGTTCGCCCTCGCTCGGGATCGGGCTCCGTGCCATCGGCACTGCAACCAGTCCGTCTGTGTGGCCTGGTGCCAATTCGACGGGTTGTTCTGTTGAAGGGAGGTGCAGTCGAGCGCCTGCCTCCGTCTCGGCGTGTTTGCACGCCTTCTGTCAATCTAGCCTCTGGCGCGTTTCGTGAGACTGCCCCGCCCGTCCCCTGACGTGGGGGGCGACCCGAGAGCGTAGGTCCGCCCGCGTTCTGGTTCGATCTCCGCAGGCCTGACGGGCAACGTCGGTCGGCCGTGGCTGTTTGCCTATGGACCTAGTTGTTTCTCAGGTGCGACGTGCAGCTCAGCTGTGTACCAGCTTGCTAGACCGCGCAGCGTGGCCTCTGCCAGCTGCCGAGCGTGCTGAGTCGCTCCGATTGCTTGGATCGGTCATCCGCTCGCCTCGGCTGAGGCGGTTGATTGCTCTCGGCACTCGGGCGATCTGCGCGTGTGCGCTGTGGCGCACGTGACCGAGCGCTGCCTCCGCAGGGCCGAAGGGAAACGCTTCGGTCCGGGGGGCAGGTCGAGCTAGGAACTCCTGACCCCTTCAGACGCGGGGGTCAACATCGTCATCAGCATCATCAGCATCGTCATCATCAGCATCAGCACCATCATCATCATCGTAGTCATAATCACCATCATCCGCATTATCATCATGATCAGCATCATGCTTCTGCTCTCCACATGCTAATTCTGGTACACCCCTCACGCCTTGCGTGGCTTCACAGGGAGTTCCACCTAAGGCCCCAGTGGCAGCGCCCGCATGGCGCCACTGCACCCGTTTCGGCACACCCCTCACACGTTCCGAGCCCCATATGGAGTTCCACCGAAGGCCCCAGTGGCAGCGCCTGCATGGCACCACCGCGCTCGTTTCGGCACACCTCTGACGCGCTTCTCGGCCCCATAGTGAGCTCCACCGACGGCCCCAATGGCAGCGTCCGCATGGCACCTCCGCGCCCGTTTCGGCGCACCCGTGACGCGTTTCGTGGCCCCATCGGGAGCTGCACCTAAGGCCCAGTGGCAACGCCCGCATGGCACCACCGCGCCCGTTTCGGCATGCCCGTCACACGTTTCGTGGCTCCGTACGGAGCTGCACGTAAGGCCCTATTGGCAGCGCCGTCATGGCACCACCGCGCCCGTTTCGGCGCATCCCTCCCACGTTTCGTGCCCCATACGGAGCTCTTCCTGAGGCCCCTGAGGCAGCGCCCGCATTGCACCGCCGCGCCTGTTTCGGCACACCCCTCACGCGTTTCGTGGCCCCATCGGGAGCTGCACCTAAGGCTCCGGTGGCAGTTCCCGCATGGCACCACCGCGCCCTTGCCGGCATGCTCCTCACACGTTTCGGGCCCCGTAGGGAGCCCCACCGAAGAGGATGCACACCATCACGGTATTCACACCTGCATATGGCTGGACGTTTCGCCAGGATACTTCAATTGAGGTGCTCCCCTGGGGCTTGCACCTATTCTGTTCTCAGTGAACGTCCCCCTGCTCATACCATGCCCCTGGCCGTCTCGGCCATAGCATCCACGGCTCCCGCCCCAAACCTGTTTTTCAATATCATAACTCCAGACAGTTTACGCAGGGAGCGCCCTCTCGCCGGGAATATCCTCATAACTCGGTACTCTCTCGTCACATACGTTGCCTCCTTCCCGGCGGTTTGCGTCGGATCCGCGATCTTTTACAGCTCCCCGAGATATGTCCGCACACTTTATTCAGGAAGCTTGACATCGCCCGGAACTCGTTTCGCAATTTACGTTATTTGCTTCGAAGCCTCGCTCGCCCGACCCGCCCGTTCCGCCCGTTAAAGTTTGCTCGTTCGCTTTTTGAAAGCCAGCCCGCCCGCTTGAATGTCCCCCCCGACCCGCCCGTCAGGGCCCGCCCCGCCCGCCCGACCTGTCCGTATAGGTCCGCCCGTTCGCTTGCTTGGAAGCTCGCCCGCCCGCCTGAATGTCCCGCTTGGCCGACCCGCCCGTAAGGGTCCGCCCGTCCGATCCGCCCATTGGGTCTGCCCGTCCGACCCGCCCATTAGGGTCCGCCTGCCAATCATCCCGCTCCTATCTCCTTCCTCTTCTGCTACATTTTGTCGTCCTTCGTCCTCAGTCCTCCTCCCTTCC